ACACAAACACACACACGACTTTTAAATATAGGCAGCAAAACAGTAACCAGGCATTTAGACCAAGGGGAAAAGTGTATTATGAGCATTAGGTTTAGCAATTAGGAAGACTACTGTGGGACTAGGTACAGGAGAGGCCCTCAGCCCAGTCTTGGAAGATAAAGGAAGGCATCCTGGAGGAAATCATGTCTTTGCTGAAGCCGAAGTATGAGTAGGAGTGGCTCTCCCTCAAAGGGGAGGGAGAGCATTTGGGAATGGAAAGTGGGAGTGGGGAGGACCAGCTGGAGCGAGCTTGGTGGCAGGTAGCAGCACGTGAGCTACGGTGGTGCAAGCAATCGACATTCGGTGACCTTACACGCCAACCCCTGCAGGCACAGACAGTTTTGGAATTAGTGCAGTGTGAGCAACCAGGTCTCCACCTTTCCACACTACTCTTCTCTTGGGTCTATCAAGACAGCTGCCACAGCTCTAACCATCCTATCTTCCCACAACCATGTTTAAGACAGGGCAAAAATAAAGACTTCCTCACCATCCTTTTTCTCAGGGAGCATATTTATTCCCAGAAGCTCCCTAAGAGACTTCTTGAGTCCTGATTGGCAGAAATGGGTCACAAACCCTTCCCTAAGCCAATTAGCAGCAAGTGGCAATGTGGTTGCCATATAAGGCAAGGAACATCTGTGGCTCATTCCCAGGGAACCACCTGAACAAAAGTAGTGGAGCCAAGAGGGTAAAGGTGATGACGTGTGGAGAGCCAGAGTGTCTGTCACACAGAGGACATGGTGAGAGATGAAGGTGACAGAACATAGGAAACCTTGATGACTTGTTATGGAGTATGGACTTTATTCGGAGGGCAAGAGAGGTTTGTCATAATTCAATTCACATTATGCATTTTGGGCAGGGAATACAATATAAGCAAAGTTGTGTCCCACCCACTGCATCACACCAGAAGACACGTGACGTCAATTTGTGCCACTGTTTGTGATGTTGAGTTTGACACTTGATGAAGGTGGTGTCCACCCCAACTAAAGAACATTCTATAAAATAACTGGTGTGGACTCTTTAAGATTGTCAATGTTGTGAAAGGCAGAAAGAAAGAAAGGAAGGAAGGAAGGAAGGAAGGAAGGAAGAAAGAAAAGAAAAGAAAAAAGGAAAGAAAAGAAAGAAAGAGAGGAAGAAAGAGAAAGAAAGAAAAGGAAAAAAATGGCTAAGGAGCTATCATATTAGACTACAGAAACATGACAATTAAATGCAGCAAATGATCTTGGATTGGCCCTGGGATCAAGAAAAAGAAATTGACGGGTGCCTGGCTGGCTCAGTGAGTAGAGTGTGTGACTCTTGATCTCAGGGTTGTGGGTTCGAGCCCCATGTTGGGTGTGTAGAGATTACTTGAAAAAAATTTTAAAATCTTGGGGTGCCTGGGTGGCTCAGTCGTTAAGCGTCTGCCTTCGGCTCGGGTCATGATCCCAGAGTCCTGGATCGAGCCCCACATTGGGCTCCCTGCTCAGAGGGAAGCCTGCTTCTCCCTCTCCCACTTCCCCTGCTTGTGTTCCTGCTCTCGCTATGTCTCTCTCTGTCAAATAAATAAATAAAATCTTAAAAAAATTTTTTTTTCATCTTTAAAGAAAAAAATTGCTAGGAACCAAACAAGAACAGTTATGCTCATAAGCAAACCAGTCATTTCATTCAGTGCTCTGACAAAAATATTCATCAGACTTGCAATTTTCTACCACTTTAAATTTGTTCCTGGAGAAGCACTCTTTGTGTTGGTTAGCTTCCCTCCAGGTGTAGAATTACTCAACTTTTCGCCAACAGTTTCATTTGGGACTGTGACAACAAAAGTAGTCCACAATGTATCTGAGATATAAGCACAGAAAAGCAAAGGTACACTATATAATACAAATTAGAACTACAGTCGTCGTCCCAGGTTAACCCATTTCTGAAAACAAGTCTAAGATCAAAGGAGCCTATATTAGATTATTTTAAATGAGAAATAAGAATGCATGCACTGCCTGCCCAAAAATTCTAACCAGTTTCTCTAAATATCACTAAAACCCTCTTAAACACCAATAAAACAATTCTCCAAACATTTCCACATAATATAAACGTTTTATATGCTTACATGTATCACTACCTAATTATTTAACACTTAACAAACTCCATAGTGATTACATTTGCCAGCAGTATGTGATGATATACACTATATTAGATGAGAATTAAATACTCCCTATAACCTGCAACAAATGTACTGCAAAGCAAATGAACAATGTGATAATGTGTAAAAGATATATAATTAATGCAATAGAATTTAGCAAAATAAAACACAAATAGAGCCATTTTTAAAAATAATTACTTACCAAGTGATTCTGGTAATGGAGGACTAGGGTGACAGACAACTCTCCCACTAGCGATAACTAGAAAGGTGGAAAAAATATACAAAGATAAGAGATAAGAGAGAGCTAATAAGGTAGTAAATACCAGGTCAATATCCAAGAGAAAAGAGAATATCAGAGAGTGAGCCTAGCATTTGAGGACTGCTTCACCCCAAGGACTATTTGTTGATTCTAGACCAGGTGGTTGAGACCCTACCAGTACTTTTATTTTATTTATTTTTTTTTTTAAAGATTTTATTTATTTATTTGAGAGAGAGAGAATGAGAGACAGAGAGCATGAGAAGGAGGAAGGTCAGAGGGAGAAGCGGACTCCCTGCCGAGCAGGGAGCCCGACGCGGGACTCGATCCCGGGACTCCAGAATCATGACCTGAGCCGAAGGCAGTCGCTTAACCAACTGAGCCACCCAGGCGCCCAAGAGCCTACCAGTACTTTTAAAAGTCTATCATACTATAGAGACAAAAGATGCAGTTCAGGACCCTCCAAGGACAAGGGTCCCGGCAAACGTCTGTTATAGTCGTCAGGGATCCCCAGAGAAACAAAACCAATGGGAAATAGAAAGACAGATACAGATATAGATACACAGTTATATCAGTAGATACCCAGATATAAAAAAGACTTAGTAAAAGGAATTGCCTTACATGATTATGGAGGCTAGCAAGCAAAAAATCTGCACAGTTGATATTCCTGTTCAAGGCTGAAGGCCAGAACTGCTGGACAACCAGAAAGAGCCAATGTTCCAGTTCAAAGGCCGTCAAGAGGAAGGAATTCTCTCTTACTAGGAGGAGGTCAGCCTTTTGTTCTATTGAGCGGTAAATAGATGCTACTATTGGATGATGCTCACCCACATTATGGAGGGCAATCTGCTCTATTCAGTCTACCAATCTAAAAGGTCAATCTCATCCAAAACCACCCTCACAGAAACACCTAGAATAATATTTGACCAAATATCTGGGTATCCCGTGGCTCAGTTAAGTTGACAAAATTAGCCATCACATCTGTGCTTTGGGATGGGACACTAGGATCCAATCCTTGAGAAGAATGTGAATTAGAAGATGAACATTCTTCTCAAGGATTGGAGCCCAGCTTTGAGTCATCTGAATGACCCAGAAAAATCTCAAATCCTAAAATTAGATTAAGGTGATCCCAGACTGCTGACATCCTCAGGCACTTGGCAAAATTAAAATGAAAATCTTATCTGGGCAAAGATAAAATCATTTTAGGTCTCAAATTATTCCTACATAATGTAAAAATTAAAATGTTAGACACAACATTGATAACCAACCATATAAGAGGACAAGAATACAAAGGAGAACCAGTCAAAACAACAAGCTGGTAATAGAAACAATCCCACAGGAACTTCAGAAAATGGCAAATACACGGTATTTACAATAGAATTAAAATGTATGACAAGGATAGTATATAACTATGCAGAAGAATAATAATGGAGTTAAGGTAATCTAAGACCTTTGCATTATCCAGGAAGAGAGAGTACTAATCATTGGTGTGCTCTGCAGGACGAAAGCCCTGATCTGCAGCCTTTGCTACTCTCTATGGTATAAATGCTCCCATGGTGGCCAATTTCAAGCTACCAATAAGAGGTTACTGAACATGAATTTGGGAAAAGAGAGCACAAACTGTTCTCCCAAGCCAGTGTGCGCCTGCTCCAGCACACCTCTAAATTAGTTCTTGAAAATGGAATAATAAAAAACAATCCAGGGCACCTGGGTGGCTCAGTTGGTTAAGCGACTGCCTTTGGCTCAGGTCATGATCCTGGAGTCCCAGGATCAAGTCCCGCATCGGGCTCCCTGCTCGGCAGGGAGTCTGCTTCTCCCTCTGACCCTCCCCCCTCTCATGCTCTCTCTCTCTCTCTCATTCTCTCTCTCAAATAAATAAATAAAATCTTAAAAAAAAAAAATCCAAAAGACGGCAAAAAAGGAGAGATGAAAAAAACAGAAAAGTCAGGACAAAAATAAAGCATATAATAAGATGATCGAGTTAAATTCAAATATATCAGTAATTAAGTGTAAATGGATCGATATTTCAGTTAAAAGATAAATATACCATAATCATAAATTGCAACTGCATGTTGTTTATGAGCAACACATCTAAAAGCATAAGGTAATAGAAAAGTTGAAAGGAAAAAAGAAAAAAAAAGATATACTAGGCAAACCCTAACCCAAAAAAAGCTGGTATATCAGAGGAGCAAAAGCACTATTAGAAAGGAATATTCCGGGGCACCTGGCTGGCTCAGTTGGTAGCCCATGGGACTCTTGATCTCAGGGTTGTAAGTTCAAGCCCCACATTGGGTGTACAGCTCACTTTAAAAAAATGGGGGGAGTGCCGGGATGGCTCAGTCAGTTAAGCATGTGACTCTTCATTTCGGCTCAGGTATCATGTCTCAGGGTGGTGAGATGGAGCTTGGAGTCAGGCTCCCTGCTCAGCATGGAATCTGCTTCTCTATCCCTCTCTCTGCCCCTCCCTTCACTGGTGTGGCTGCACTCTCTCTCTCAAATATTTTTTTAAAAAAAGGAATATTTCATAATGATACAACATCCAACTCACAAGACATAACAATTCCATAACATAGAAGCACCTAGAATATAGCCTCAAAATATACAAAGAAAAAATAACAGAGAGTGGAAATAGACAACTCCACAACACTTGGGAGATATTAACACACCTTTCTTAGTAATCAAAACAAGCAAGCAAAAACAAATTAGTAATTAAGCTAGAAATGATGCAATTAAGGCAGAAATCAATAACAAAAATATAACTTAAAACTCCTATGTTTAAAAATTAAGAAATGCCAATTCTACACAAACTCTTCCAGAAAACTTAAGAGAAAGAATACTTCTGAACTCATTATGAAGCCAGAATTACTCAAATACCAAAACCAAAAAAACAAAAGAATTACAAGAAAAGTAAACTTCAAAACAATATCCTTCATAAGCCAAGATTCCTTTTTTCTTTTAAGTATTTGCTTTGACTTTTTTTTTTGTTATTACTTTTGCTAGTATGTCTTTGAGCAAGTTGCTTACAGCCTCTAAAGACTTTTTTTAATGTAATCTCCACCCCCAATGTGGGGCTCAAACTCACTATCCCAAGATAAGAGTCACATGCTCTACCGACCAATCCAGCCAGGCACCCCTTAAATTGTTAAATTCTTTTTTTAAGTTTTATTTATTTAAGTAATCTCTACACCGAATGTGGGGCTCGAACTCACCACCCCAAGATCAAGAGTTGCATGCTCCTTCAACTGAGCCAGCCAGGTACCCCTAAATTGCTCAATTCTTAAGAAAAATTTTAGCAAAGGAATACAATAACGTATAAAAATAATGTCAAGACTAAGTAGGACTGGTCAACCCTCTCAGGTCCCCTCCCTCTTCGGGAGCTTTGTACCATCACTTCACTATCACTCAATAAACTTTGTTTTGCTGCCCACCAAAAAAAAAAAAGACTAAGTAGGACTTTTCCCAACCATGCGAGTTTATCAATCAATATATAAAATCTAGGAAAAAAACAGGAAAAAAATCTATATAACCTTGGATTAGTCAAAGATTTCTTAGACATGACACCAGATAAATGGACTTCCTCAAAATTAAGAACTTCTGCTCTTTGAAAGATATTAAGATAATAAATGAAGAGAAGCCACAGACTGGAAGAAAACAATTAGGAAACAATAAACTGTGACAATCAACTTGGTACATTATGTTCAAATAATAACTCCACAATTTATTGAATACTTTTAATAAGCCAAGAACCGACAAGCATTTTATAGACATTCTCTATTTTAATCCTAAGACCAACCCTAAGAGGTGGATACTATAGAGGTGGAAACTATTATCCTCATTTGACAGATGAACATAAGAGAAATTGATTGACTTCTCCAAAGTCATATAGATAGTAAGCTGCAGAGCCAAAATTTGAACCCAGTTCTATTTATTTCCAATGTCAATGAACTCTCTTAAGTACTCCATCATACTATCTTTCTATTAAAATAACCTAAGTTTGCCTAACATGGAAAAGGCGTCAGAAGCAAAATGTGTTAAGTGGCCGTGGCCTCCAGATTTACAGGTTAGTGAACTACAGATTTTACTTACCAAATTCGGAAAACAATACGTGGTATTCATAAATTTGCTCATGTGTTTGTCTTATAAGAATGGTATCTGTGATAGTAGGGTATTTATATACCATCTGAGACTACCTTATGCCTCTAGACACCCCACAAACTAAGTGGTCCCATCCCTGTGCTATGGAAACGAACTGGGTAAGCAGCCTAGAGTGCAAAAATTTGCACGCAGTTTTTAGTCCTCTGTACTGAATTGTACAAGATCCTATCCATAGGAAACTTTCCCTCCTTGGAACCATATAGGACAATATCTAAAGGAGTGGGCAATAAGCATAATTAAGCATTAACAGAGTATGCATTTATGTTTTTGTTCTTTGCTTATAGCTTTTATAGGCATTGATTCAATAAATATTTCCAACAGTCTTTGTGGTGAGTAGGTGGTAGGCATTAACCCATGGAAAATACAAAATAGAAGCAGAGGGGAATCTGGCTGGCTCAATTGGTAGAGCATGTGACTCTTGATCTCAGGGGTCGTCCGTTTGAACCCCACATCGGGTGTAGAGATTACTTTAAAAATGTTTTTAAAAAGAAAAAACAACAAAATAGAGGCCAAATGGCAGTAGTGTTCACTGTTGCTCAGCTGGGGTTCAAGGGAGAACCAATCTTCTTACCCTTCAAACCACATTCAGGATACTAAATCAAGGCCCTCCTGAGCAGATGGAAATCCTTAGGCCTTTGCAAACATGTAATCTTCCTGACCTATGATTGGGTACTTTCCTGATATAAGCCCTTCCTCCCACTCACAACTGGTAGTAACCTTTGTGTTTTTTGAAATCTCAGACTGTTTATTTCATTCATTCGTACTTTCATTCAACAAATATTAAGTAGGATCTTCCAGGTTTAAGGCATTGTGTATTTCCTTGTATTTAAAATTATGTGTGAACTGATCTTATCCTAGCTTCTGGGCTCCTTGAGGACAGAAAGATCTTACCCAACTCTTCCATACATCTATTGAAATTTTTAGCACAAATCTTGGCACTTGGTGAGTACTCATTAAATACTTGATGACTTGAAGTTTGACCAATTTCCAATTCAATCCTCTTCTTATTCCAATTGAATCAATAAAGCAAACAAAATCATTCCATGATATTATCCAACCCTTCACTTCCTCCCATTTCTAAGCACCACCTTTCCTGGTACTAATTTTTTAAAAGAGAATCCTCATTTGGCATACTAGATCAGTGTGATTATGCATGTAAAAAAACAAACACTAAAAATAACTCACCCTCCTTGGAACTCCAACGGCTCGTATAACCAGGGCATGACGTGATAATGGGAAATGCTCTGGACCAGGTATCAGGAGTCCAGCCCTGGCACCAACTTCTATCAACACCTTCACCAAGGTCTATTGATTTATGTGTTATTCTCATCTATCCGGATTATAAACTCCTTCAAAGAAGGAACCGTCTTTTGTAAAGAGGTGGGATCTAAATAAAACAGTTGGTATTTTGACTCTGGATACCAACTCTACATACTTCTGGATTAGTTCATGTAACTTGCAGACACATGAGGAATCCTTGCTTCCATGTGTGCTGTCCTTCCTAGGCCAAGATGTTGGGAGGGAGGTAATTAATTTAAAATGATCGTTCTGCTCTCTCAATCTGTCCTCCATCTCCCTAGGACCAAAGACTTTGTAGCCATAGGGCAAAATAAAACCAATTTCCTTCCAGTGCATTAGTGCTCCTTGGACAGCTGGATTAACTAACCCTACAAAACGGTGTGGCTCTGAAATCAGGATGTTTGGGGTCAAACTCATAAGCCCCCCCAAGCACTCTGTTGGTGACCTCCAGTAGCCCCGACGAAAGGAGTGCTGCTCCAGGATTTCTATGGGTTCAAGGGCACCAAGTCTAGCTGGAAGTGGGGTTCAGGGCATTTCGTAGAAGCCGCATCTGCAGAGCAAGCACTGTCTCCACGTGTTTGGGGGGGTGATGAATGTGGCGCCATTTTGGGAGCAGGAAACAAGTGATTCCGACCGAAGAAAGGTCGAGAAGCTTCCTCGGGGAGGGCCTCAGAGGCTTTCCACAGAGAAACTGGCTCTTAAGAGGGAAACTTCTCTCTGAAGGGAGAAAAACGTAGTCGTTCGTCGGGTCCCTGGCTCGCTCTAAAAGGCCTCAGCCCTCGCTAATTCATTTCCTGACAAAAGCACTTGTGAAAGCATTAACGCTCCACACGTCGGTCCGCGAGTCTGAGAAAACTTTATGAAGAAAAAAATGAACCCTCCACGCGCCTCGCCACCACCTTCGAGGCGGCGTACGACGCCGCTCGCAAGGGGCCCCTCACACGCCGGCCCCTCCCCCGCCGCAACTGCGCCGGACCCCGGCCGCGCTCCCAAGCTAAGCGCGTGCGCAGACCACCGCGCGGCCGCCCCGCGCAGGCGCCGAGGCCATTTCCGGGATCTGTCAGCCGCTCCCCCTGGGCCTCGGTCCTCCGCCCGCGTCCGCCGGAGCCTGTTCGCGTCGACTGACCAGAGTCCGCGAATTCTCCGCTCCGAGCCGGTCCGCACTGCCCCGATCCCAGGTAAGGGACAGCAGGGCGAGCTCCTGGCCCTGTCGGCCTGCACTGGCCCGGCCTCGCACCAGACTTGAACCCGCGGGGGCGGTGAGGCGGGGGCTTAGGCCGCGGGGCCCAGGGGCTGAGGGGCGGGCCGGGTCTGCTGGCCCGGCCTCCGGAGGGGCGGGGATCCCCATTCTCCGTGGGGTCCGCCGAGCCTCTGGGGTTCCCACACACAGATCGCTTCTCTCGAGATTTTCCAGCTCCGAGCCTCCTTCAGTGCCAGGATTAGCGCTCCTTTACCTGCGCTTCCGTAGCCCTGTTTGCTCCTCTATGAGGGGCATTTATCACAATCTGTAAAATCGTAGTAATGAGATGACCTTCCTCCTAGTCGAGCGTCACGACGGAACGTTCCTTTCTTTAGCATCTAGAATAGGTACTGCGCGCGGTGGGCGACCCTGGAATGTCCCGCTCCTGTGTAGGGCAGCCCTCAATCTTTCAGCTCTTGGGGGGCCCTCCCGAACTGCAGAAAGACCCTCCCCCGAGTTCTTGAAGCTTCCTCCGCTCGAGTGCCGCCTTCTCTTAAGTCAGTATTGCACACACCCGGCCCTACTCGCTCTGTGGAGCCTTTTATGTAGCCCCTTTGACGTTCCAGCCCCTCCAGTAGGACGCCCATATTCCAGTCCCGGCACCACCACTTCGTTGGGAAGATTGCTTCTCTGAGTCCCTGTTTCCTCGTCCGCAGTAGGAATGTTCTTAGGACTATTATTATTAATTATTATTATTATTATTTACTTATTTATTTGGATCAAGTTAGTTTATTTGCATTAATTGCCTAGACTAGTACCTGGCCCAGAGTAGGTGCTTAATAAATACTCGTTATTCCTACTGTTTGGGCATTCTGTGCATATCGTCTTCCGTTCCTTTCCTACCCCCCCACCTCCGCCCAGACTTGAGGACCAGGAAAGTGTCAGATGTATTTATGTTTCTGGCCCTATCCCTGTGCTTAACTACACTTCTGGGAACATGGTAGACACTTAATAAATTGTAGCTTAGAATCTGATTAGAAAGCCATCTGTTCTCATATGCAGCTCTGGAACTTGAAGGAAATGCTAACCTACTTTTTATCTACTTCCATTCATTTCCTAAATTACCGAAGTTATCCAAGTTCTGCTGTTTTCTTTTTTAAATCAATTTTATCTCACCTTTTTGTTTCAGGTGTGTCCTGGGTTTTTCAGGTATCTAAGGAAAAAAGGAGAGGATATCAGTCTGGAGGGTGTTTTTGCCCTGTTAGGGAGTGGGTGTAACTGGCTGCTTCCTACCAGAGAGTATTCGGAAACCTTCCAAGGTTAATTCATCTACTTATCACAATTAGAGGAGGGGATTATCTTGGAAAAATAAAACACTTGCTTGGAGGAAGAGTGGCGGTATTTTGATCTAGTTAACTAATCCTATGCTGAAACAAATTCTGCATAAAGAAGTTTAAAATGATCTGCTGGTAAGGCTGGTGCCTGGCATTGAAACCTTGTCTCTGAACCTTGTGGAGGGTGTGGTGACCTTGTTGGAGTACCTGGGATTGCTGGGTTGGGTAATGAGAGCAATTAGAAACTGGATGAATCACAGTGTTGGAAACTGACCCTAAACAGGGAGCTGAAATCTTTACAAATACTTTCAGGCTTCAGGGCCAAGAATTCAAAATATATGTAGACGTTTCCAAGTTCAGAGTATAATAACCAGTGTGTGCTTTTAGAGATGGTTCAAAAGCCTTGGGTCAAAGGAAGAAAGGGAACTAATTCAGCATCTCTTTTGGGCTAGGCTTTGTACTACATGTTTTCACATGTTACCTCATTTAATCCTCATACCTACAGCCTTGGGATGTCAGTGACATGTCCATTTTACATATTTTTAAAAAATGAGATTTTGTATTGTTAAGTGACCTGCCCTGGGTCTCATAGCTAGTATGTGACCAAGCCAAGGTTCAAACCCAGGTCCCCTTGGCTCCGGAGACCATGGCAACCAAACATCAGACTGACTGTATTCAAAGCGGTAGGTAAAAAAAGGAGTTGGGTTGTAGGGGGAGTGCTTGGAATCATACTATAAATCATTATAAGTCATTTTTCCTTTCAGCTCTGTATATTAAAAGCCTAGCAATAGAAGCTTGTCAAATTTTGTATCACCGCCTTTTTTGTCTGTCCCTTTTTCTCCTATCTACTCTCATTAAGACAAAAGTTTTCAGGTTTCACTTAAATACTAATCACAGTTTAGAATTAGAATTATCATGCTGTGTCAGGAGGTATCTTTTTCTTGGTACAGATTCCAGCTATTGCTCTCCTGCACTCACTGAGTTTGATGAAAACAGACTGTGTTTACTGGGTGCCTTATAAACGTGACAAACATGAGTGTTGTCTTACTCTACAGACTTATAATATCCACATGATTATAAATGAAGTACAGGTCTGAGTGTATGTCCAAATATGGAACTTGAATGATATAACAAATTTAGAAATGCAATTTTAGGAGTAATTATGCCATTATGTAAATGTTTACCTCTTTTGAAAGCTTTGCAACTTTGCTTAAAAAACTGAGTTGAGGGATGCATGGCTGGCTCAGTCAGTGGAGCATGCAATTCTTGATCTCGGCATTGTAAGTTCAAGCCCCACTATGGGTGTAGAGATTACTTAAAAATAAATTAAGTCTTTTTTAAAAACTGAGTTAAAGAATGAGAAAGTCTTTGCAACTGTTCTTTTTTAACTATACACGAAATATGTGCTTTTATTGCATGTAGTCACATTGAATTATTTGTAGGCCAGTTTTGTTTTAATTAAATGAGCTTATAAAATACAGCTTTCGAACTAAATTGCTTTT